GTGACTGGTCCCGTAGTGGGATCAGCCAACGCCTTAGAAACAGGCGCAGGAAGTGGTGTAAGTGTCGTGCTGTCCCGGAAGAAGCAGTGTGAGGCTCCAGAGTCCAGCGTGAACGACAGCGAAGCGTCCTCTGAGGTAGTCGCTGGTCTAGAGTCTACACAAGAACCTACACTAGCAACAGGCAACTGAGCAAGACTAGCACCTAAGCTAACAACACCAGAGTAAACAGAGTCAGAAACACTAGAGTCAACAACAGCATACATAGCATGAGGAGCACTAATCAGATCAACTAACTGCTCAGCAGACATGCCCCACAGAGCGAAGCCGTAGCGCTGAACCAGAGGAAGCCAGTCAAGAGCAGGACCGCCAACCCCGTAGGCCAACCGGACCGTGTCAGTAAGCTGAGCAAAGCACTGACCAGGGGGGTGAAAGTGGCCACAAGGGTGGCCCCGACGAGGACCTGTCTGAACCTGATAGGCGCAAGGAGGGTAAGAAGCACCGCGCTGGGGCTGACGCAGCCTCGACCCCGGAGCCAGCTGCTGACGTTGCTGCTGCTGAGGCTGCTGGGAGGAAAGGGGCTGCTGCTGCTGCTGAAGGTGCTGCTGACGCTGAGCCTGGTACCACGCCGCTGCTCCACCTAGCGGGGCCGGCAGTACAGGAGGCGACTGACGAGCTCGGGGGTCGCCGCCACCAGCAGGCGCAGTGGAGTCACCAGCCGCTGCACGAGGGGTCTCTCCAGACGCTGCACTCCCACCACCGCCAGTCGCAACAGCACCCCCACTACCTCCGCTACCTCCACCTCCACCTCCACCAGAACCACCTTTCTTGCCCCCCCTGCCGCGGGACCGCGACGCAGTCGTAACAGCAGCCGCAGTCGCGTCAGTAGCGGCAGTGGCGAGAGAGGCAGTGAAGGTGGGTAACTGCGGGACTGTGCACCCGTGGAAGAGTGGGGGGGACACAGTACCAGAGGCGGCAGCTACCGAGCGAAGGTTGCTCTCGACGTCCTTGAGTGCAGACTCAAGGACCTCGATAGTCAGCTCACTAGGGTGCTTCAGCAGAAGCGCGTCACGAACGGAGGCAAGGCGGTCAGGGAGGCTAGTGGCGATGAAATAGACAGTAATCGCCATGGGGGGAGGAAGCAGTGCAAGCTGTGCCTCAGTGCAAGCAGGGCGGTAACTAGCGTCGAGCGAGCGGAGGTGAGCGATCAAGTCAGCAGAGCGCTCAAACGAGGCGAGATCAGGAAACAGGAACGGGAGGAAAAGACGGCCAAGAGAGACAGTAGCGGGAGTAGAGTAGCGGGCCTTAATCGCAGTGAGGTACGCAGCAGCGGTGCGAACCTGAGTAAAGTGGACCTCCTCTGACTCAGGGAGGAGGCTGCTGAGTGCGATGCAGGCCGCAGCGTCACGCGACGTCCAAGCCGTCCGGTCAGCGCGCTGACGGGCAAAGCGAGCCGTAGCAGCGTCATCAGGGGCAGAGCCTAAAGCTGTAGGCTCGGGGGGCTCGGGGAGATCACCAGTAGCGTGCGACCAGAGGGTCTCGCCCCCCTGAACCTGACTCTCTAACAGACGGCGAGCGCGAAGAAGCCAGACGGAAAAGTCAAGTGGTCTACCGTCAGCGTCGAAACGAAGAACTCGCGGAGTCGCCATAGTGAGAACTAACGCGAACGAACAGGCGAGTAACAACCGGGGGGAAGAGGCAAATTAGGGTTCAGGTGGGAAGGGGACTCAGTCGCAGCGTAAGAGCGGGCTAGGGCGACGGGCCAGGGCGTAGGGTAGGGCGACGGGATAGGGCGTAGGGTAGGGCGACGGGCCAGGGCGTAGAGTAGGGTGACGGGCCAGGGCGTAGGGTAGGGCGACGGGCCAGGGCGTAGGGACGGGACAGGGCGACGCGACGGGGCAGGGCGGCGGGACGGGGTAGGGCGACGGGACGGGGCAGGGCGACGCGACGGGGCAGGGCGACGGGACGGGGCAGGGCGACGCGACGGGGCAGGGCGACGGGACGGGGCAGGGCGACGCGACGGGACAGGGCGACGGGACGGGGGGGAAAGGGCGGGCACGACGCGACGGGGGGAACGGGCGCGACGCGACGGGGGGAAAGAGCGCTAGGCGACGGGGGGAAAGGGCGCGACGCGACGGGGGGGGGGGGGGGGGGAAGGGCGCTAGGCGACGGGGAGAAAGGGCGCTAAGCGACGGGGGAGAGGGCGCTAGGCTCGGTACTAAGCGCGGTAACAACGGAACTGGTACGAACAAGAGGTAGGATCAGGCTCGGGAGGGACGAACGGAGAACGGAGGAACGGGATCCCACAGGATCCTAACCTAGCTGATACCATGTCAAAATGAGGAATGATGCTTCCATTGATGTTGGTTGGGGTACATATAACAAACCCTAACTTCTGTACCCCCTAAGACAAACCTCACTACAGGCTACAACATTTGTCACAGAATTCACAAAATACAAAACCTGTATTTCCAGGGTCCACCAAGTCAGAAGCCTGTAATCACCCTGAAATCAGGGTAATTATCCTGATATCGTCAGCCCTACCTAGAGTGCTCTGAAACCATGTTAGAATGTAGTAGCAAGAATAAATGAACAATGGAAGTGTTGGGTACAAGTATGAAACCCAAAAAGGGGTTGTATCCCATATTGGCTACCCCACTACAGCCTAAACATATATAGCATACATATACTTTGACACCTCGTATAATTGTCGCGTGGTCGTGCAGGGTCGCAGTACATCGATCCTTTGTGAGATCAGGTTCAGAGACATTTGAGCGCGACTCGACCAAAATGTGTTTGCGACACTTTCTTAAGCAACATGTCCTTGGCGAAATGTACACTAAGAATGAAATGGTTAAACAACAATTCCATATCGTAACAAATATCAAATGAAATGGTTCAACAATACTTGGTAACAAATATTGGCTTTGTTATGATCTCCACTTTCCAGTATCAACTTTCCAACTATCACGGGCGAGTACGCAGCACGAGTGTAACGTGACAATGGCTAGTTTCCATATTTTGTATGAGATGGCGTGATTTAGCGATTCCTTCGGGAAACTCAGTATTATATTTTGGTTACTAGACAAACAACAGTTATTTTTTAGATTTTGTTTGAATTGTGCCCGTTGTTGGAGCCGTTATAGAAAAGGTCACGGGTGAATGCGATGATACAGAAGGAACGTAGTTGTTCAGGAAGTGCACATGGTACTTTTATGTATCGTGTGGGAGCACTATGAAATAGCAGTTAAGCCATACATACACCCAGCCATATTACAATACATGACTTTCCCACTATGAAATAGCAGTTAAGCCATACCTACACCCAGCCATATTACAATACATGACTTTCCTATCTCAACGTAGTTGGAGTGAATCTGTGCTTGGAAAGGTCAGTGTGTTATGGGATACAGCTGTCCTGCGGTTGAAGGCAACACTCACATTTGTAAGATGACGTTTGCCTTGTTTGATGACAAGGTGCATGCCTGATGAGTGGCCTTCCGTGAAGCAGGGGATACATTCCTCTCCGACAGACAGGGAGCAAGAATCTGTGAAGTCGTTTTGCTCCCGCAATCATTTCCAGAAGATCTCGGAAGCATGGTTTTGGCGCAATTTTGCTTTGATGATTTTGCCGGGCACTGAATTCACTATGAATCCTTTGCATTGGAGTGAGTTCCGCAGAATGTTGAGAATGAATTGCGACTTCTCTTGCCTGTCAGTCTCTTATCCAGTTCTGGTACAGCATTATCACTCCGTTTCATGACCTTGGAATGGCGGCGAACAAAGGAATTTACTCTGACGCCGTAAGTGCCTTATCCACACGATCCGCTCTCTTGGAGGTGTTCGCCGCAATTGAAGCGTGTAACAAGGTTTTTCGGATACTGTACGAGTACGAGACACTCTTGTGAACATTGGGGACGGGAGGAGCCAACAGTGCTTTAAAGCTTAATTCAGCGGGCAGTCTGAAACATAACAGAGTCTGAAATACACGTGCACTCACGGAGTAACTGCTGGTGTACAGTTAGCGTAATCGTCACAAGGTTTTGGGTTTTTTTGAAGTGCCTTCAGTCTTTAATGGTGGTGGCGAGTAGGAGTCCCGATCTCGAGGCATTTCTTCGCGGAGATGGAGAACCCGTGATTGGACTAGCGGACTGTCCCCTTTGGGATAGCGATACTGAAGAAACAAGCCACAATATTCCAGGTTCGCCAATAGTGCCCGTAAAGATACGCCTCATCTCGGGCAGTCACAGAGCTTGGCTGCTCGGGCAGCCATTTTGCACATTTCGACTGTGCTCCAACCACGATTTCTTTCTGCCCCTCCCAGTCTGGCTGCGCCCCTCTCGACCGCAGGGGGCCAAGTGCATGGTTCCTCGTCCACATGTCGCACGTTTCGACGGCTGCCATTGCATCGCCGTGCATCGCTTGTGCGGCCAATCAAGACACCACCATGCCCCGCGTGTCGGACATTCTCCCAGCATGAAACTGTGAGAAACCAACTCGCCTGTGCTTCAGGGCAAGGTTAGGATTCATGACAACACATATGAGTGCATGGACCCAGGCTGGACTGCCAAAGGCGTAGCCGAGAGGGGGACATAGGACGCTAATCAGTGCCTAGTGAGGTAATTAGCTCCCCCAGTTGTTCTCATATGGGTGCTGCTAGCGTTTCGAGCACGCGAATTCGCCTGTTCGCTCGAAGCACCCGTGTCGGTTTTCGTCGTTGAACTCGTTATTAGGGCCTTTATGCCGACCAATAGAAGTGGTATCTCCCACGTCTCCGCGGTTCTCCTCTAATGCGATCTGCTGTTCCTTCCCGCGTCTTCTAACCAGTTCTGGATCTATTGATCAGCACTTAAGCTGCAACGACTACATACAAGTCGTTAGCTGATCATAAAGCGCTTTAAAGATCGTCACCAACTGACCCTTATAAAGATACACCTCAATTGGTATCTAAGTACTTTTCCTTAGGTTGAGGGTTAAGTGGGTGTCGGAGGTTGTAGCGAGGCATGAGGGCTCTAGTGGTAGCCGGCACGCATGGCGGCGTGGGATGCACTTGGTTCACGCTCGGCCTATTGGCGGCGCTGCGGCGTCGAGGCCTCACGGTGCAGCCTCTGCGGCTCGGACCAGGTAACCCCTTCCTCTAACCCCCTCTCTCCGCCACGTGCTGCTCGCCTCATCCCCTCCGTTCTTCCGCACTTCTTCGTAAACCTAGCCTCCAGTTTTGTCCCACATCTGTATCGTTCCACCCGTCGTCCGTTCTTTCGCGTGCTTGTCTGCATCTACATGTCAAAGTAAGCTGCGTGCTGTGCCTTTGAGGCACCTCAAAACCACTCTCCATGTGCTGTCTGCGTGTGTTGCCTGCTTCATGAGCAGAGCCGCTGGACGCGGGGCCCTACGTGGCGGCGTGCGGTCGAGAGCCCATCAATCTGGACGCATGGATGGCTCCAGGGTACGCCATGGGCGGGCTATTTTAGGGACCGGGGGGATACGATTCAGTTTTTTAATGGCGCAAATCCAAGTCGTAGTTAATTACTGTCAACCATCCCAAGATCCGCGCAGAACGGCCAAAATTGGTGAAAGAGTAATAGCTTTCAGCAGCTTGTTGGAAGGATCAAGACCGAAGGGAGATCCCGGATAGAAGTAGCAAGGCACGCATGCATGTGGCCGCATGGTTGCAGTTGTTGTCGCTTCCGCTACCACTTAGACTTCCAGGTCCGTCAACCGCTTCTGTCACTAATGCGTTTCGTATCGCCCGCGTGCTTGCATTTCATCGCCGCAGGGACCTAACTCGCGCCTTGTTTAACCGACGCGCGGCCGGCGCGGATGTAGCGGTGGTGGAGGCGGCGGGCGGAGTGTTTGACGGGTGGGACGGCGGAAGGGCGGACGGCACGGGCAGCGCGGCGGAGATGGCGAAGCTGCTGGGGGGCCTTCCCGTGCTGCTGCTCCTCGACGGCCGCTCCGCCGTGCGCTCCGCTGCCGCGCTCATCCACGGATTCACATCCTTCGACCCATCTCTCACGTTCGCGGGGATGCTGCTCAATATGGTGCGCGGATAGCCGACGGTTCGCGGGGGAAGGGTCCGGGTTTCAGGAACGGTTCTCCTCCCTTATTCTGTGCGATGTTCCCCCTGTTACACTCTCTTGCAACCATAGGCTGCCGTCACTCCGTGCTCACCCTCCGTCACTCTTATCGCCTTCTTAATCTCTCCAGCCGATCCCCCTTTCCCTACTTCCCTCTCTCTCGCCTCCTCTACTTGTTCTCTCCCGTGGTTCTTATCCCCTCACTTCTAACCCTTTCCTGTCATCTTCCCCGTGTCGTTCTTACCTCCCCCACTGCTGTTCATTCCCGTGGCTCGCATCTGGGCGCGCGCAGGTGGAGAGCGAGGCGCACGCGCAGTGGATGTGGGACGCGCTCTCCGCCGCGGACGTGCGCCTGCCGCTCATCGGCGCGCTGCCCTTCCTCCCGCACCTCTCGCTCTCCGCCATCCTCTCCTCGCCCTCCTCCCCCACCCACTCCCCGCCGTCCTCTCTCCTCTCCTCCCCGCTCCCTGACTCCCTTTCCTCCGCGTCCTCCCCGCCAGTCTCCCCCGGCCCGTCCCCCTATCTATTCTCCGCGCTAGCCGACGCCGTGTCGCACTACGTGCACATTCCGCGCCTCCTCTCCGCCTGCGCCTCGATCCTGCTGCCTCCGCCGTCGTTTCCGCTCTCCTCCCCGGGGGGTGCGGGCGGGCGGCGCAAGGTGGTGCGCATGGGGGTGGCGCGGGACGCGGCGTTCTGCCTCGTGTACCAGGAGAACCTGCTGCTGCTGCAGGGTGAGCGGAGAATGGGCGAGTAGAGCGGCGCATGGTGGAAGGGGGAGAGGGTGGGGGTGGAATGAGTGGAATTGTAGGGTGAGTGTATGAAGCACAGGAGGGCTCTGATGCGGGAGTTAAGATAAAGCGAGTGGCGGTCTGCGCTAGCACGACTCGTGACAGTACGAATTGCGCATTTGCCTCCACTCTTCTCCCGTCGCTCCTCTCACTCACTCTTCCTCTCGCCCTGGTTCCTGCCTTTTCCCGCTCTCCCCCCTCTCCCGTCCTCCCTTGCCGTGTATTTCCCCCACTTGCGCCATCACCTCCCTCCCCATGAGCAGAGGCGGGAGCGGAGCTCGTGTTCTTCTCGCCGCTCGTTGACCCCCTTCCGCCGCGCCTCAACGCCGTCTACCTGCCGGGCGGTCGCCTCGCGCCTTTCGCGCCTCGCCTCTCCGCCAACCGCCAGCTCCGCTTCGGCCTGCGCGCATTCGCCGCGGCGGGAGGCTTGGTGCTGGCAGAGTCCGCAGGCACCGTGTTCCTTGCGCACTCGCTGCAGGTCCGCGCGCGCCTCCCCTCCGCCTCTTCCGCTTCGTACTCTCCCCCTGCAACCTCCGTTCACACCAATCGACTCTTCTTTTCCGCGCTCCCGTTCCGCATTCCCTCGACAATTTGCGCACTTCTCCCGTCTCCCGTCCCGTCCCCTCCTCCCACCACCCCCCCTCTTCCCCCCCTACCCCCCCCCCCCCCCCCCCCCCTCCTCCCGCTTCACCCGCTGCAGGGCACGGACGGCGCGGAGTACCCCATGTGCGCGCTGCTGCCCTTCACGGCGCGCGAGCTGCACGCGCCACCCGCGCCGTCGTACTGCCTGGTGAGTGCGCCGTTCCCTTGCACCATCCTCCCCTTGTGCCGTCGTCTCCTTCCCGCTGTTGGGTTCGATTTCTCCTATCCTACCTTCCGCCTTCGTGATACCTCCCCCCTTCCGCCCCCCGGTACCGCTCTTATCCTCGCATCCTTACCGCCATCCTTCCGCTGCACCGTCTGGGCCCCGCTTCTCCACGCCCTTACGCTTGGATGTTTTCCCCGGCGCGCTTTGCCCCCACCCCTTCCCCAGGTGCGCCCGTCCCTGGGGTCGCCGCTCTTCGACCCTACTCTTGCGCCCATCCGCGGGTGCCTCGTCGCGGTGGCGGAATTCACCCCGCTGCGCAACCACCCCGCGCCGCCGCCCGCGCCTCCGCAACTTCAGCGCCCCGATCTCAATGGGTGCGTTGACAGGGGCCCGTAGAAACGCATTCATTTAGCGGCTCGCGTGGGCGGACGGGTTGGCGGAAGGGTGGGCGCAAGGGTGGGCGCTCGGATGAGCACGTACGAGGGCAAGGGTGGGACGGTCACACGTGGGTGGCTGAATGGGTGGCATCGACTGGCAGGTAGCAGCGCATACGGGCGTTGCGCATTACCGCTCCCCGTAGCCGCATACGCCTTCATTTCGCGCCTGTTTCGCCTGTTTCTCCTGCGCACAGCCTGTGCCGCGCTCCCCACTCATTGGCTTCCCCCCTGCCCCATCCCCCCGTCCCCCCCTCTCCCGCGCAACCGCACAGCTTCCCCACGGAGCTCGCGTTCCCCTCCGCCGTGCGCCGCCCGCTGCCTGCGCGTTTTCCCCCCGGCGACGCCAAGGACCCGCTCGCCGGCGCGGCGGGGGCTGCGGGGGCGGACGGCCTAGGCGCGGTGCGGCGGGAGGGCGTGGTGGTGGGCGGCGCGGTGGCGTCGCAGCTGCACCTATGCTTCGCGTCCAACCCCTGCGCCGCGCCTGCCGTCATTCAGCACGCGCTGTAGGGCCGCCTGCTCTACCTCCTCCTCCGCCTCCTCCTCCGCCTTCTGCTCTGGCTCCCCCCTCTACTCTCTCTCGCCCCTTGCGCGCCCTACCTGCGTGCTCACGCCGCTCGTTCACCACCTTTCTCGTAGCGTGCACCCACTTACTCTCGTTTCCGTTGCGCTCATTTTCGCTTTTCCTCGCCTACCCTCATCCCGTCTTCTCCTCCCCGTGTTCTTTCACATTCTAATCTCCAGCATATTTTCCAGCAAGGCAGCGTCAGTTGCGGCGGCTTCGGCGGCGGCTGTCGTAGCGTCCGGCGCGGAGGCGGCAGCTGCGGCGGGAGCGGCGGCGGCCGCGGCGGTGGACCGAGTATTGGACGAGCCATGCACACTGGACGCGATGTCTTCGCCGCGCCGCTCCTGCTCCTCTGTCTTTTCCCCCTCCCCCTGCGCCTCTCCCTCCCCGTGGTCCCGCCGTCGGCGCAGCGAGAGCTCTCTGCTGCTCGCGGATTGCGCCACTCCGGGTCGTCACGGCGCCCCCGCTCCTGGTTTTCCGCCCTGCAACGCGCAGCCGTCTCATCTTCCGCCGTTTCCGCCGCCATCCGCACGCGCTTTCCTGCACTCCGCGTCCGCCTGCTCCTCCGCGTGTCCCGGGTGCTGGGACATTTCCCTCGCCTCTCCGCGCGCCTCCCCGCGCTACGCCACTCCGCGCGACGCCGCTCCGTGCGCCAGACCGCGGGAGTGCAGGGATCTAGGCCAGGGGGAATGGGGCGGCGCGGCGGACGGCGGAGAAGGCATGGGCGCGGCGGAGGGATGGGGGGGGCGGGCGGAGCAGCGCGGGTGGCTGAGACGGTCCGAGACGTTTGCGGTGGGGGAAGGGGGGATGCGGGGCGTGGGGAGCGGATGGCGGGAGGTGCGCGCGGAGCAGAGCGGTGATATAGCCTGGGGAGCCATGCCGGGGGAGTACGGGGGCGCGGCGGAAAGGGACAGGCGGAACGGATTCCGCGCATGGGCGCAGGTGTACGGCATCGGGGGGAGAATGGGCGAGGGGGAGGGGCGGGCGGGGGAGAGAGGCGCGGTAGTGAACAGCGGAAGCGGCAGTTGCAGCAGCGCGTGCGACAGCGGAAGCGGGAATGGGAGCGGTGGCTTTCCCATCACGAGCACGACGAGCACGAGCAGCAGCGGCAGTTGCGGCAGCGGCGTTTGCGAGGTGCCTGCAGGGGCGACGCACGAGCGGAAAGGGAGCGGCGGAGGGATGAGCGGGACCAGCAAGGGCGACGAGGTCGCAGCAGCGGCGGCGGCGGCGGCAGCGGAGGAGAAGGCGGCTGCGATGGAGAGCGCTGCGGAGCGGATCAAGAGCATGCGCGCGGAGCAGATGCGCGTGATGGGGCTGGAGGGGCCGGTCCCCGCGAGCCGCATGCTGCGCGTGCGGAGCGACCTCCGCGGGTACGCTGGGTGGGCGCGAGGCGCGGAGGACGGCAGAGACGGCAGCGGGTTCAGGGACGCGCGCCGATCCAGCTGCGACTCGCCTTCTAACGGGGATGATGCAAGCCGTGGCTATTACTGCAGAGGAGGCGGAGGCGGATGCGCAGGGGGACTGCGGAGGGGGGAGCGCGGCTCGCGGAGCATGACGATCCGCGAGAGCGAGGAGGCGGACGCCGCTTCCCCCTCGTACCGCCCCCTGCTCTCCATCCCTTCGCCCTCCTCCGCCCTCGCCCCCATGCGCCGTACCCGCTCCGAACTCTGGCCCGCGCGCCCCCCTCCGCTGCCGCTCGTGGCGGAGGGCAGGGCGGCGGAGGGCGCGTGGGGGCAGCGCGGGAGTGAGGGGAGGGGCAGGCGGAGCTGTGAAGGCATGGGGGACGTTCCAAGGCGGGCGCGCACGCAAGTGGGGGGAAAGGGGGAGAGGTATGCGCAGGGCGGGGGGAACCTGTGGGGAGAGGGGGACATATTGGCGGAGGGGAACGGGAGGAGGTGGCGGCGCGCGTCGTTGGAAGGGGGCGCGCGGGGAGGATGGGGGGAGGTATATGGGGGGAGTGCAGTCGCTGTAGTGGGGGAAGAGGAGGCGGGGGAGGATACGTGCGGAGAAGGGGAGACTGACATGGCTATTGTACGAGTGGGCAGCGGCAGCAGCAGCAGCAGTATTGGCAGCGTGAGTGGCGGAGGGAGTGGGGACGAGAGCAGCGGCGCAGAGGCAGCGAGTGAGGAGTGTGCGGGGGATGTCGAGGGGGAGACGGGCGGAAGCAGCAGCGGGGAAAACGAGGGGGAGCAGTGGGCGGGGATGGGGAGGCGCAGAGTGGAAGCGGGGGGGATTACAGCTCCTGACGGGTCGTGCGACGCTGTAACGCCTCCTCCGCGCTCGTCTGCTCCCCTCATCCATGCCATACAAGCAGCAGCTGCATGCAGAGCAGGCAGCCTGGGCAGCGATACGCCTACTGCATCCTCGGAGCTGGTGGAAGTGGGGGGAGGGGCGCGAGTGGGCGCCATGAGCGCACGAGCGTCCCCCCAGCAGCCCCTGCCGCGGGTGTGCCATCTGCCCCTCGTTCCTGGGCTCGCGCCCTGCCCTGCGCGCAGCTGTGGCGCTGACGTGGCGCAGGGCGGGCTGGGGGAGGGGGCGCCGGGAGGGAAGGTGGGAGGGGAGCAGCGGGGCGCGGGAGAGGTGGTGGTTGGCAGCGAGGGTAGTGGGTGGGCCAGAGAGGATAGCAAAGGTGGCGAGGGTGGGGAGCAGGAGGCAGTGGCGCAGTGCATGGCCGTGTGCTCTGCACTCTCCAGACACATCCTCGCTGCTGCTGCCTGCTCTGCGTCTACAGCACCGCTCAGCCACCTCGTATGCCACTCCCCTCCCTGCTCCTGCTCCACACTCATATCCAATTTCCCCGTCCCTGCTCCCTACTCCACTGTAATTACTGTATGCCGCTCTTCGTCATGACTGCCAAAATTTGTTGATTCATTCTGAGCCTTGTTACGCCCTTAAGAAACACCTGGAAGCCTATTCACCTCAATGAGTGTGCGTCTCTGTCCCCCCCCCCCCCCCCCCCCCCCCCCCGTCCCTCGTTCCCACCCACTGCTCCTGTGGTGCAATTGCAGGTGCTCAACCTGGCACACCCCTCCTTGCTCTCCACACTCCTCCCCACGTCCCCTCTCGCCACCCTCCTCTACCACCCGCACTCACTACCTCTGCCTCTGCCTCTGCCTCTGCCTCTCCCCGCCACGTCATCCGCCCCCAATGCTGCCTCGTTACACGACCATCGCCCGCAGCAGCACAGCCGCATTGCAACAGCATGCCTGGCAGCGCAGGAGAATGCTGCGTGGAAGCGTGGGGCACTCGTGTGCAGGCAGGATGCGGAGGGGGTGTCAGTTGAACTGGGTACAGCGGTATCAAAGGGTGGTGGCGCACGGGACGGGAGAAAGGTTGTTGCTGCGCCTGCAGTGGAAGCCTCTGCAGCCTCCCTTTCTTCAAAAGTGGCTCTACTTCAGCCGCGATCGGTAAGCAAGCACTGGCACCCCTTCCCCCCCCCCTTCCCCCCTTCCCCTCCCCAAACAACTGTTCAACTGTCCCCCGTGTCCTCCACATTTGGTGCTGTGTTCTCCTGTTCTTTCTCCCGAGGCCCCGTTCATTTATCTCACATCGGTCCTCCCTTGTTTCCACCCCTTTGCCTGCTCCGTTTCGCCCTGTGCCCTCCTCCCAGCTTGCAGACGTTCTTGATATGCTGGACGCTCATCCCGCCATCACTTGCCCCGCTTCTGCTGCTTCTGCTGCCGCTGCACATGCGCCAAGCGTCTCGGTGTCTGTGCTAAGAGCACGCATTCGAGCGGTGGTAGCAGCAGTGGCGGGGCAGCCTACTGTGCGGGTAGCAGTGGTGCTGCTGCCCTCATCCCACCCCACCTCGTTGTGCCCAGAGTCCACTGAGGCGGGTCCAAAGCATGCTGCAGAGCCTGTGGACCAGCAGCAGCAGCAGGCAGTGGTGGTGCCAGGGCTGTGGGTGGGGGACATGGTGGCACTGGCAGGCGGCAGCGGTGTGGTGGCACAGGAGGCAGGGGGGAGCGCGCGGGCAGTGCAGTGGCAGCATGTGTTGGACAGCGCTCCTGACGCTCTGCTGCTGCTGCTGCCGCCCCACCACGGCCCTTCCATCAGCGAGGTGGGTGCGTGTGTGTATGTGATAGTGTGTGATGAAGGTCTGCGTGATTGTGCCTGGGACTGGGACTGTGCATGTATTTGTGTGTGGTTGAGTGGCTGGCGGGTTGCGGGTTGATGCATGTTCTTCAGTAGGTGTTTGTTTGTTTCCATACATTGTCCCTCCGACAGGAGCGTGCTTGACTAACAACTCTAACCCCCATTCTCCTGTGCATGCTTCCCCCTTTGCGCCTCCTAACACACACAGGCAAGTCTGAATGCCAGTCTACCTGGCTTGGACACACTACCAGCCGCCAGAAGAGGCATGCTGTTTGCATGCCACCACGCCCTCTTTACATGCCCTGGAGCCTCTCTAGTGGATGGACTAGAGCTGCTCGCGCATCTGCTGCATCCCACACATGCCAACTACCACGGCTCGTCAACAGTGCATCGGCTCGGCGCTTCTATTAACAAATGACGATTGACACAACTCCGCTGACACCCAGGGACTAGGCCCGATTAACACATGCTCTTTTGCTGCGAAGCAGCAAGGGAGAAACGCCTGACTCAACAGGAATACTCACCATCAGAAGGGAAAGGGAAGGACTTGTTAGTCCTTAAAAATATTCTGGTTGGACAAGGGTGATTCCCTTATGGATGGCATTGTGATATGCTTGTGTTAAGGCTTTTCAAGTGCCAGTTTTTTCCCGAAGGGCGAATCATATTGGTAGCATGCTAATGATGTGCGGTTTGGAATGTCCAAGTGCAATGTAAAACTTGAAGTTTCATTTTTACCTACCGTATGTTAAACTGTACATTTACATTATGAGGCATTGATCTCTTCCCTCAATACTCGCTTCCTCCACATCCACTGATACCCCTGCCGCTCACGTCTGTCGCCGCTTCACTCTACCTCCAAGCTCGAAACCCTCAGTTCATGATCCCAACCACGAGGGAACCTATCCAAACCACACCCCACCTCATCTCGCCACACCAAAACCTAGTCCCTTGTTGTGTTTTAGTTTTTTCGTCAGCCCATTTTCTCCCTAGCTAGGCTCTGCTGATGATCTCGCCTCGCCGCTAGTTCCCTAAAACGGTCCTCCATTTTCCGCTCCGCCCCGTCGCCACCTTCATTCGCACATCCGCCGCGTCGCCTGCCGTCATGCATAACGTCACGCGCGCGGCGCTTAGGGGCCTCGCGTCCTCCTCGTCCCGAGGTCCCTCCCGCCTTTCCGCCGCTGCCGCCGCGACCACCTCCCGCCTCCTCTCCACCGCCGCTCCCGCCGCTCCCGCCGCATCCGGCCCCGCGCCACCCACTTCCGCCCCGCCTCCCCCCCCTCCCCCGCCAGAGAAAACCGTTTTCGGCGGACTATCGGATGCGGATCGGATCTTCACGAATCTGTACGGGCTGCACGATCCGTTTATTAAGGGCGCGATGCAGCGCGGCGACTGGCACCGCACGAAAGACCTCGTCGTCAAAGGCACCGACTGGATCATCAACGAGATGAAGAAATCCGGGCTGCGCGGGCGCGGCGGCGCGGGGTTCCCGTCGGGCCTTAAGTGGTCCTTCATGCCCAAGGTGAATCCCGACGGCCGCCCGTCGTACCTCGTGGTTAACGCAGACGAGAGCGAGCCGGGCACGTGCAAGGATCGCGAGATCATGCGCCACGACCCGCACAAGCTCATCGAGGGGTGCCTCATCGCGGGGGTGGGCATGCGCGCGCGCTACGGGTACATTTACATCCGCGGAGAGTACGTCAACGAGCGCAAGGCCGTCGAGCGCGCCGTCGCGGAGGCGTACGCGAAGGGATTCCTGGGCCGCAACGCGTGCGGAAGCGGGTACGATTTCGACCTGTACGTGCACCACGGCGCGGGCGCGTACATCTGCGGAGAGGAAACCGCGCTGCTGGAGTCGCTCGAAGGCAAGCAGGGCAAGCCGCGTCTGAAGCCGCCGTTTCCGGCGAACGCGGGGCTGTACGGATGCCCGACGACGGTGACGAACGTGGAGACCGTCGCCGTGTCGCCGACGATCCTGCGACGCGGGCCGGAGTGGTTCGCGTCGTTCGGGCGCAAGAACAACAGCGGCACGAAGCTGTTCTGCATCTCGGGGCACGTGAACAAGCCGTGCACGGTGGAGGAGGAGATGAGCATCCCGCTCAAAGAGCTCATCGAGCGCCACGCGGGCGGCGTGCGCGGCGGGTGGGACAACCTCCTCGCGATCATCCCGGGCGGCTCGTCAGTGCCCATGCTCCCGAAACCCATCTGCGACGACGTGCTAATGGATTTCGACGCGCTGAAAGCGGTGCAGTCCGGTTTAGGCACAGCTGCAGTGATCGTGATGGATAAGAGCACTGACGTCGTCGACGCGATCGCGCGGCTGTCGTATTTCTACAAGCACGAGAGCTGCGGGCAGTGCACGCCGTGCAGGGAGGGCACGCCGTGGTTGTGGCAGCTGCTGGAGCGCATGAAGGTGGGCGACGCGCTAATGGAGGAGGTGGATATGCTGCAGGAGATCACGAAGCAGATCGAGGGGCACACCATCTGCGCGCTCGGGGACGCCGCTGCGTGGCCCGTGCAGGGGCTGCTGCGCCACTTCCGCCCCGAGATTGAGCGCCGTATTGAGGCGCGCGCCGCCGCTGCTGCTGCTGCTGTTGCCGCTGGTGGTGCTGGTGAGTGGGCGGCGGGAAGAGGGATGGGAGAGTGCGGCCAGGGGATGATGGCAGGGATGGGAGGGTGTGTAGAGGGTGGGATTTTGCAGCAAGGGTTGAGAGATGTATGGTGGTGGGTGCCACAAGAGGAGTTGAAAGACGGACGTGTTTCGAGTGCGTGATGGGAGGGGGAAGGAAAGAGATTCTGGTGTAAGAACGAGAGGGGAAGCGAATGAGTGTTTTTGGTCACACATGAGTCACAAAGCTTGATAGCATGAATGCACACACCTCCTTTGTCTCTTCTGCCTTTGCTTGCTCGCAGCTTACTGCCATCCGCATCTGCAATTTGACATGCATGCGCTGCTACCGTATTTCTGCAGCATATCCAAGGGGGATGGGGAGGGGGAGGGGGGGGTGGGGAGATGGCATGCATGATCCATTTCTGACACGCCCATTAGTTGAATACACATCGGTCATTTACTACAACCTCCCTCCGTTAGCCGCCTAGTTCATTGTGCATCGTCTCACAAAGCCATTCTTCTCTGTTCCTCTTTCCCCCTTGTTTCTTGATGCCCCCAGAGGTGCCAGCACAGCAAGTGGCGAGTGCGGGCATGTGAGGGCTCGCCACCCTGACCAGTCAGCCCCATTGCATGGAGAATGGAGATTCTCACATCATTACTGCACCACTCGCCCATATTCTGGGATGGGATGGAGGAAGGGGGAGAGGAGGGAATGTCCACAATGCCCCACCCATCCCCACGCTGCTCAGTGCATGTAGCAGCCTTGATGTGAAGAGTGCCATTGCACCATGCGGGATGTGTCTCCATTTGATCTGGACCAACTGTTTCACCCTGTCTCGGATCTGCTCTGTACATCCCCAAACCATGGTGTAGTCACTTCCCTTTCTGCTCCATGTTTGTTAGATGCATGCTGTGTAAAACAAATTCTTTTTAGAATCCCATGAATAAAATCTCATGTTTTATTCAGGAAACCGAATCAGCCTGTATGATATGATTGAACTTGCAGAGTGCGCAGAATAACGAATGACGAGAATGAGAATTACAGAATTACTGAATGACTGA